TCGTGGATCGCTCGTTTGACGCGCCGCTGAGCAATCCAAGCCTGGTGCCGTCGAATGGTAGTTTGTTGCTTGAGGAAGGCCAGGGTTACCACCCTGGGCCCTGGAGAACCCTCTGGAAGGACTTTAGGACATTATCTTTACATTTCTAAATGTCAGATACAAGTAGAAACCAGCATCTCTAGAATTATCAGATTTCAGCCAATCAGGGCTCCTAGCTCTGATTTTGGTTGTTGGGCATATGGCGGAGTCTGGTCTAACGCGTTGTGCTTAAGACACAATGTTCCTGGAACTCGTGGGTTCGAATCCCACTGTGCCCACATTTTGCTCTGGACGGGGCTGATTGTTGCTGCTCTTTTTTTTTTTGAACTCGACGAAAGGCAGCGAGAAGATGAAGAAGGGGTGTCAAAGTGGGCATGTTCACTTTTATTCTATTTTCGAGGGCTATGCTGCCTTTTGCAAACTTATCAATGTACCTGTCAGCGAACCGTCTGTGGTATACATAAGAAACTCTGACGCTGTTTGTTATCAAATTGGCATCAGAATATCTGCCTGGCATCCTGGCATTGAATGATGAAGGAGAATGTCAGATTTGGTTTGGACTGTTAGAATGGCGAAACCGTTGGGAAAAAACAAAAAAGAAAAAAAAAATGTCCATAAGTACACATGGATTTGCCGTCGCCGAGGCCAAGGATACACGTCGAAGGAGCAAGAAGCGTGGATGAGTTGTCAAGATGACGAGGCATAGAAAGAGTATCTAGGCACGAGTATGCTTGGCGGATGCATAGTGTGCCCAACAGTCAGAGTGCGCAAAGGCGCAGTTATGTCAGAGCATTTGTCGCAGTTGTAGAGATAGGTGACACTAATAGCACGCGTTTGGGCTAAGGATTCATAGCTAGCAAATGTGTTCCCCCATCTGCCGTGGTTATCGAAGTATTCGTCTGAAGTCGACAAAGCGCTTTATCCTGTTCGATGATGGGTTGATGGAGAGAAGAGTCTGGACGATCTCTTTGTAATAAGTTCTAGCGCAGTCTATGGAGCGGGACCAACAGCACACGATCAACATGGAATGATATTTTTTCAGTCGACCATTGGCCGTGCACTCTCATCTCTCATCTTAAGAAGTGTCCAGTCTATCGAGCCCATCTTTGGGCAGGAGGTGAGGAGAGCATCGTTGAGAACCTGGAGGACGGAGCAAGGATTTTGTCCTTGAGCTCACATCCAGGAACGACTCCCATCCCACGTCCTCTCGTCGTCTATCATTGATGAGAGCACGGTGCAGTCGCAACCCAAAAAAAATAACACTTGTGCTTTCAAGGCTCTCGCTCTGTCGAGATAGTACTTTTTCCAGCCCTCAACTGCCGCTCGATCTAGAACGCAAGTATGGCGGTGCTTCATCCGCGGGGGAGGCCCCAAAGAGGGTGTGTGCTTGGGGAAAGAAAGAAAGAGAGAGAGAGAGGAGGGTATCACATTGCATTAAAGAGTGTGTCCTGGTGGATGCGTCGAGGCATGGGTGGTCTGCTGAACGGCGAGTGCATGCAGACCGGGCGTAGGCAAAGCGACCTCTGCCCACTTGCATCTGTTTCAATCCTTCCTCATTCCACGCTACCATTCCTCGTCCTGATCCTCATCCTCATTCCTATCCACCCCAGCCATCAACACACACATCCACGGACACACCACGGCCATTCCAATTCTCTTTCATCCTTTTTTTCGTCTACTGATCTCCCTACTACTCGTTGCATTGGCGGCCAATCGATCTCATCTGAATCCCCGATTCAGAATCCACCTCGCCACCAAACTCCTCGTGTAAGTGCCGGACTTTATCCGGAAGACCCAAAAGACTACCGCCACTAGCAATCGCTTGAAGCAGGAGGGGCAAAGTTGCCCTAACTTCCCTCTCTCCCTGCTGTTCCTGGATCGTTTACTCTCTGGACCGCAGGCGACTCACTTTCTGTCTTCCTCTCTCCTCCTCTGCTTTTTAGGCGCATACTCGGGTTTCATCCAGGTGCATAGCCGCACCACCATGCGGATAGCCATCATGCGGATCTTTTTTCTCGCCACCATCTACCTGCACACTTTTATCAATGCTCTGGAGATAACCGGATCAACGGCTGGAACAACGTCAATGTCTGCTACCTCGCCCATCGTTTCCTTCACGACAACGACAACGCCTACAGCCGAGACGCCGTCAGGGACATCGGTCTCGATCTCGGTCACATCCACAGAGAACATCCCTGCAGTAGTGCCCACACCAGGACCTACTAACAAGCCCTATACGCCTGGTACGGTTGATTGCCTGACCATGCCGTACTGTCCTGACAACCAGGAATGCTTCGTACTAAAGGATGGGCTGGTCTGTCAGGACAAGATCCTCAATCAGGGATACATTCTATCCAGGAACGATTCTGGTGTGCCTGCGGTGCCTGGCTGGTCTGGGCGACGTTCAGCGCTGAATGCCGACTGCACCTTGTTCCCGATTCCCACGTCAACTGGTTTGGCCATGATGGTCTACGATCTCATCCAGGGGACACTTCCCCGGGATCTGTTACTCTCCAGGTATGACCAGTCCAAGACAACCTGGTACACGGCCTTTTCCAACTGCGAACCTGAACTGGCGTGTATGATGAGCAAGTGCCAACCCAGACCCAGTTTGGGCCAGCAATGCACATCGTCCTGGCAGTGTAACCCTCAAGCATTGGGACTGAATGAAAACAATTCTCCAATTCCGGGGACGAACGCAACTGAGATTCGATGCGAGTTTGCAGCAGGGGACATGTCCGAGAACAAGACGTGTCAATTATTACATCGGGAAGTCCATACAGGAGGCGGATTTTCGGCATGGCATGTCATTCTACCCGTGGTGGGATTGTTGGTTTTGATCTACTTTGGAGCTGTGATCTATCAACGCAGGATCAGAAGAGATAAACTTCGGAAGTGGAGCAGAGCTGTGGAAGGTAAGCATGGCTAAGGAAAATGAGTTGCAAAGGATGATCTTTGAAGTAGAATCGACATCCAGAACAAAGCGCAAGCTGGACAAGCTGAGACAAACGATACAAGCATATGCGACGCGACGTGGAGTTGAAGATGTTGTTATGATCACCAAAAAAAAAAAAAAAAAAAAAAAGTCGCCTGCTGACTACTTCGACTACTTCACATCTAACCCATGCTACCATAGAAGATAGGAACGACTTCCAGATGGAAGCTTACGACGAGCTGGAGACGACTAGAGGCAACAATATTTACACTAATATCTAATTCAACATCTTGCAGTATAATAATAAAAAAAGCAAAGTTCCCCTTGATATATAGACTATACCAATGCGCCTTTGCATTGTGTGTAGGATGTTACTGACTAGTGTCGTCCCCCATCGTTGTCAGGAAAAAGTGGATCCTGTTGCCATGGGCTAGCGTAGGAAGCTAAAGAGAGCAAGTCTAGTCCAGGAGTGAGAAAGGGTTGAAAAATGAAGGAGTGCATGGTACAATTGAGCCTTGACCCAACTTGACGTCATGTTGCTGTTGCTGTTCCTGATTCTGGCGCGTAAACCTATGCACAAAAAAAAAAAAAAAAAGAAAAAGATAAAGGCATAACAGAAGAGTACGCGACATGACACGGCGGAAATACAGTAGCACTTGTGGTTGCATGAGTGGAGTGTGCATGGGTGTGGCAAGCGAGGCCAAGGGTCAGCTTGTTTTCTGAGTCTGAGAAGCTAGAGATAACTAGCGTCGTTTTTTTCCATGGTGAGGCCAAAGCCAGGCACGCGACGCATGGGTTGTGTGCCTGTGAGTGTGGGGTGCTGACAGATGCAAGAGACCCGTTTGTTTTCTCAGGCACAGACAGTGAATGAGGCCGTGACCTGCATGCACATGTGCACATGCCACATGCCACATGTCATCACATGCTGATCACGGACACCTGTTTGTCATTCATGTCAAGAGCAGACGATGAGCGAGAGAGAGCGAGAGAGAGAAAGAGAGAGGAGTGAGGTGAAGAGAGAGAGAGAGAGAGAGAGAGAGAGACTGTGTGTGTGTGTGTGCCTGTATTTGCGTGGATGTGCGCCTGTGTCCGTGTCTGTGTCCGTGTCTGTGTCCGTGTCTGTGTCTGGGTAGTGCAGTCTTTCATGCCTGCCTGTCTGTCTGTCTGTCTGTCTGTCTGTCTGCCTGTTGTCCTGCCTGCCTGTCTCCCTGCCCTCCCCTTCTCTTGCTGTCACCTCCACTGATGGTCGCACGAAGGAGCAGCATGGTTGTTGTTGTGCATCCATGCAATGAATGGGCCCTCTCATGGGGCGGCTGGAGAGTGCTGCTGCTGCTGCTGCATGGACACGGTAGGCCAGGTTGCTAGTGCGGCACTAGTGCAATCCAAAGCGAGACAGAGGCAGAGCAGAAATGCGAGGGATGGGATGTGCAAAGTGCTCTCAGTTCTTGCACCATCACTCACTCATTTTGCTCGCTCGTTTGCTTGCCTGCTTGCTTGCTTCATTGTCCTCACTCCTCTTTTTTTTTTTATTTTTTTATTTTATTTTTTTATAAGTTTCTTTCATTCTCGCTCTCGCTTGCATTCACCGTTTTCCTGTCCCTCATTGCCCACCTGCATCCATTCCTTTCCGCTTTTCTTTCTCTAGCCCACCCACCCTCCAGTCCCCCTCCCTCACTCTCACCCTTCCTTCTTCTCCTTCTTGTCATCGGCATCCGCTCCTTCGTTCCTCTCACTCAGCACACTCCTCCCACACAGCACCCACCCAAAGAACACAGTAACACCGATACTATCATCATCATCATCATCATCATCATACCATCGCTGCCAACACAGAACACCTGCCGTCCAAACCACTGGTCCAGCAAACACATCGTCTCTCCAAAAATCCCAGCCTTTCTTCTTGCTTTTGCTCACTTCTCTCGCCCTCTCGCCGCACTTTTATTTTCTCCTTGTGTCTCGCTTCGTCTCGCCTCGTCTCGCGCTGCTTCGCCTGTCGATTCCTCAGTGATCAGCTAACCCAGGCACCGGTCGCAGCTTAACATCCTTTCTCTCTCACACTTTGCTCTTTCACGCGTGTCTCCCCTTCCTTCCTTCTACTGTGGAAAAAAAAAGAAAGAAACACACCACTTCCTGGTCTTGTCCATTTGGGTCCTGTACATTGCACTCCTTGCATTAGCAACAAACAGCAACGCACACAACCATGATTGTCGATATCCTTCCCTTTCGCCTAAAACTGGCCTCGATCGAGAAGAGCGACATCCCACGCTGCACCCACCAGCTCATGAAACTCGTCTTGTTTCCAGCAGGGTAATTTTATTTTCTTTCCGGCTCTTGTTTTTCGAT